GGGCGTTTGGCCACCGCATGCAGCACAGTGCGCTTCTCCGCTCTGCGGGCCACGGCTGCAGACTGCCGAATGCCGCCGTGGATATTTACGGATGAGCGATCCGTCTGCCGAATGCGCGGGGGTTCTCGGTGATCCACCCAGCCGTCGTCCCTGCGTCTCTTGCAGGGCGCTGCTGTTTTCCGGATGGCGACCCGGACGCCAGTGATTCATTTGCTGCGGCGGCGGGTGGCGCGTATTACCCTCGCGTCTGCGCGCGAATATTTCCTAACACAGCGCCCATGCGCAGCCCAATCTGCCTCTTCCCGGCCGCGCCGCCCGCGGGGTCCGCGAAAAACGATGGGGCGATTTGTTGTCTCGCCAACCTGCGCATCGTGCGTGGCCCACGCGTCGTCGCTGTCCGCCGTGAAGCGGGCCGCCCACCCATCGACTCGCACCGATTCCGGCAGCGTCACGCCCGGGGCGGCGGAAGCGGCAGCTTCACCGACGGCCTCCTCCACCCGAGCGCCGCGGTACCGCCGGCACGCGGAAAACCCGTTTGTCAAACGCCGAACCACCAAAGTTGCGCCCCCAAATGCTGCAGGCCGTGCGACCTCCCAGACGGGGCGGGTCCGGAGGAAACAATGCGACCGCGGCCTTCTCGAGTGAACCGCTCTTCCTTGCGGGGGCCGGTGAGGGCGCCGATCCCCGCCTGGAGAAATGCGGAGGCGGCAAACCAAAATGTCGAAAATGAATTTAAACAAAAACGCCTGCACTCTTTCACAGCAAAATGTGTTTCAAAGAGAACACGCAATGCAACTTGCCCCTCCTTCAACCGCTTCTCCGGGGGGGTCCGCTTCTTACGCCAAAGAACCGCCGACATTCCGCCGAGCGATCCGCAGAACAGGACCCGGATTCAATTCCGCGTCTCCGCGCACAGCCGGAGAAGCTGCCGCTGAAGAGCCGCCAGCGCGAGGAGTGTCGCCGCACGTAGGCACATGCAGCTGTTTGGCGGGCCGCCGGGTGCATTTTTCCCGTGCCTCCTGCGGTGGCGGCGGCCGGGCGTCTTTCTGGGTGCCGCCGCCGCGAGTCAGAGGAAGCAATTGCCGGCTATTGGCTGTCCTTTTCGCGAGGCGCGGGAGCTTGCTGCTGCGGGCTTCCCGGTTCCGTCCCGGTGGAGGCGTCAAGTTGCGGCATCGCCGTGGCTGTTGGGTGTGGGCCGTGCCATTTTTTTTCCGATGTTGTTCTGTGTTTTGGGTGATCAGGTTTAAGGCACGGGCGTTTTGGACGACCTCGGGGCGTCATGGCGATTGGGTCTTTTTTGACATAGCTTGTCAAAGTTCTGCGCGGGGAGAGCTTTCTTTCTATTTTTGTAGTTTTGTTTGTTTTCTTACCTTGCATTGTTTATCCTCTCCTTCTGGCTATGCATAGGCATTGATGGGCCACTAACGCGGTGTGCGTTTTGAGTTTGCTTTTTGGTCTGCTTTTGATGGAATATGGTGAACTTTATTGGTTCTGTCTCAGGAGTGAATTTTAATCTTCTTTTTGCTACGTTTTTTTTTTGCTTCTATATTTTGCATAAGGTATTGGCGTTTTGAGAAGATGCGTCTATTTTATATTCTGTGTATGGTTATTGCGGTCCTTGCTTTGGTGTTGACTGTGATTCCTGAGCAAGACATTTTTCCGGCGACTGTGCCTGCTGATTATTCGTTCCGTGAGCTAAAAGCCAAATTTGGTGATGCCAGAAACCTTGACCATACTGAGACAAGAAAGCTATACAATTCTCTTTTAACTGAAATCAGGGAGCACTTCAACCGGCAGAAAAATGCTCTGCAAGCGGCAGAGCAAGCGATTTCTTGTAACGCATTGCGCTGGAGGGCTCGTTTGTACGCAAGATCGAGAGATGGAACTTACACAATCCCCATCTTAACTGATTGGTTTCTCCAACTACGGGATAGCTATGTTCACGGACTTCGATATCTTCCAAAAAGTTTCCTTCAGGATCTGACAACTGCATTAGCTGGCGATTTTTCCTTTCGACGTTCTGGTCTGGTTATTAGACAAATTCGTGAATGCATTTTTCCATCAGTGGATTCTATGGGGTGCCCATCATATCAGTTTCTTCGTCAGATTAAGGGGAAAAGTGACGAAGATGTGTTGGCATCATGCACGGAGAGCAATTTGTGGTATGGAACATCATAGGTGCAGAGTGAGGATGGGCTATTGACTATAAAAAAACAAAGAAACGACGGGGAAAAAAAGAAAGAAAAATAACAATTATCGAAATCAATACGTACTCACACACGCACAAAGAGAAACGATGTTTTTATTGGTGTTTTTTATTTTGTTGACAGTGAAAATATTTCCTCATTGCCTCTTTTTTTCCCCCTCGCATATCTCTATAGTTTTTGAGTAGAATAATGGAGGACCCAACAGAAAAGGCTCTTCTGCGGATTGCAGAGACCATAGAGCGGGCTGTTGACGATGAAATGGAACACATCGATAACATGGATGATGAAGAATTGATGCTGCTCCGGCGTAAACGACTGAAGGCCCTAAGAGAAATGGGAGAGCGAAGAGATGCGTGGTTAAAAAAAGGACACGGCCAACTACAAGAATTGACGGATCCAAAAGAATTTTTTACTGCGGTGGAGCAATCTGAACGTGTTGTGGTTCATTTTATGAGAAGAAGCACCTTACGTTGTTCTATTTTGGAGCGACATCTTCGAGCAATCGCACAAAAACATTTTGAGACGCGGTTTTGCACCGTCGATGTTGAGAGGCTGCCCGTACTGGCTGAAAGATTCAATGTTGTGATGTTGCCGACACTGATGCTTATTGAGAATAAGAATACATTTCACAGCATTATCGGGTTTGATGAATTCGGGGGAACGGATGATTTCTCCACAGATACTGTGGCAAATGTGCTTTCTCACTATGGTATGTTAAACGAACATGGTATGTTTGCAGCTGACCAGAGCGACGAGTAGAACATATGCAATAAAGGAGGAGGATACATATATGTATATGTATATATTTCCTATTATTATGGTTTTTTATTCCTGTTTCTGCCGGTGATCATTTATATAGTTTTTTATGGGAAGTAATTGCTGCAGTATATCTGTGCATTTGTTTCTTTTTTCTATTTACTATTTGTAACGGAATAATAGTAAACAAAGCAGCAACGGAAGTAAAAACAATAACAACAAGAAAAAAAGAGCAGCCGAAGTAGGAAAACCAAAAAACAGAAGATGTCTACGGAAAACGTTGGTACTAGCAGGCGCTTTGTTGGACGCACAAAGCAGGTAGAGGATCCTTTTGTGAAGACCCTGAGGATCAAAGTGAATACCCTGAAGCGCAATATGAAAGACCTTGAGTTTGCTAAAAACGAGGTCATTCGTGAGACGAGCCGTCTGGAATCTATTAAACAAGATAATCCGGAACGTGTGAAGCAGCAGGAAAATGTTATTGGCGAGGCACAGATGATGGTTCCCCATTCAGAGAACAGGGTGAGAGCGGCTCTAAAGGACCTTAAAGAATTTTTAAATGAAAGGGGTCCGAGTGATAAGGATGACGAGCTGGTGCGAAGCGCACAACAGGCACTGGACGAGGGGGAATGCGTATTATCGTAATCATAGCATCTAACTTGCCTTTTATACTGTTTTTTCAGCTGTCAAATTAGAATTGTATTGCCGAGCTTTTTTTGCCTCAGTTTTAAAGTTTCTTGCATTCTTCCCTTTTTTTTTTACCTAATTGTATTAGTTAGAGACCTTCATATATATATATATATTATCTTTTCAGCGTGATGAAAAGGAGTTGGTTTAAACCAACTCCTTTTGCTTCTACTGGCGGTTGATTCCATGGCGCCACTTTCATTCTTTTCGGTGGTTTTTTGATGAGAGTCGGGACTCGATGAACTTTGGGGTGCCATTACAAATCGTTACGAAGGAAATTGTTGGAATCAGGCGGTGTTTCTTCCTTGGGAGAAACACTCGGAAGTCAAGCTTTAAAGCATGTCGGCGGATATTTTGTATATAAATGTATATAACACTGCACTGGGTGGGTGTGTCTCCTCATATACTCTCCCAGTGTTTTTTTTGAAGTGGAAAAATGAGAAATGTGCCTTGGCCTTACTGGCCCTGTTACTTTTTTCTTCTGCGACTGAGTATTGTATGAATTGGAGGCTTCTGGGAAGAACTTGTGGCTGGATGCCTCTGAGCAGGTGCTGGCGCGTCTTGCTTAACTTTTTCTCTTCTGTTTCGATGAATTGTTTTTTTATTTTTTGTTTCCAAAGATAACGCGCTGAGAGGCAGCGAGTGCAGCTTTTATCATTATTATTTCCACTGCTCCTGTTTTTTTTGTGTTCTAACATAACGTTTTCCTTGAAGTTTTTTTTTCTCTTTGAGAGGATAAAATGCATGAGTTATTTTGGCTTATCTATTTATTGAATGCTAGGGGTTAGTTTGGGACCGATATGTTTTTTTTCTTTCCGAAAGACCAGGTAGCTTCACTTTATTTAAGAGGATTTTGAAATAGAACGGTGTTTGATATTTGTCACTGTTTTTAATGGGGACCTCTCACGGCTGTTTT